GAGCCCAGCAGGTCGAGGCTGCAGTAGCTGGGAGCGGCCACTGCACTCCAGTCTGGGTGATGGAGTGAGACTCCAACTCAAAAAAAAAAAAAAAGAAAAGAAAAAGAAATGAGAGAGTTCTATTCCTGCCTTAAACACTCAGGTACTCACACATGCATGCATTCAGAAACATAGCACATATTAGATCTTTCATCAGTTGACTAAGTAAATAAAAAGCATTTGTTATTTTTGTGGGTTCTTTTGTTTTGTTTTTTTTGAGTTGGAGTCTCACTCCGTCACCCAGACTGGAGTGCAGTGGCCGGGCCGGCCACTGCAGTCTCGACCTGCTGGGCTCCGGCGATCCTTTCACTTCAGCCTTCCAAGTTGCTGGAACTACAGACTCGCACTACCACGCCCGGCTAATTTTTTGATTTATTGTAGAGATGAGGTCTCGCCAAGTTGCCCAGGTGGGTCTCAAACCCACGGGCTCAGGCAATCCACTCACCTCAGCCTCCCAAAGTGCGGGATTATAGGCTGAGCCACCGAGCCCGGCTGGGGATTGGATTTCAACATGAGGTTTGGAGGGGGCAAATATCCAAACCATAGCAAGTACCAATATATTCGTCAACTAAGTTAATGTGTCATCTAAGCAACTTGTATTCCCTTCCTTGATCCTATATCCCTTCCTGTATCCCATTACCATTCCTACCAATGGTAATGACTATCACTGGTGTTTATCAATCTTGATTTTTATAATGGTTTTACCATATATAACTATATTACTAAGAAATATTACTGCTGGGTTTTCCATTTTTAAATTTGATGTAAAGTTATACTCTATATTTGTGTGACAAGATTTTTTTCCCTCTATATGATATATGTTTAAAAAAATTTTTTTTTTTTTTTTTTGAGTTGGAGTCTCCTCTGTTGCCCAGACTGGAGTGCAGTGGCCGCTCCCGGCCACCATAGCCTTGACCTGCTGGGCTCCGGCGATCCTTCCACTCAGCTTTCCGAGTAGCTGGAACTACAGGCGCGCTACCACGCCCGGCTAGTTTTTGATTTATTGTAGAGATGCGGTCTCGCCAACTTGCCCTGGCGGGTCTCGAACCACTTATCTCAGCTTCGCAAGGTGCAGGATTACAGGCTGACCCACCGAGCCCGGATAAGTTATAGTTTTTAATCTATATTGTGAGCATGTGTTTCTGGTATGCTTTCTTATTCTTTTTTTTTGGAGTTGGAGTCTCACTCTGTCGCCCAGACTGGAGTGCAGTGGCCGCTTCTGGCCACCGCAGCCTCGACCTACTGGGCTCCAGCGATCCTTCCGCCTCAGCCTTCTGAGTAGCTGGAACTACAGGCGCGCACTACCACACCCGGCTAATTTTTTGATTTATTGTAGAGATGAGAGCTCACCGAGTTGCCCAGGCAGGTCTCGAACCGGCGAGCTCAGACAATCCACTCACCTCAGCCTCCCAAGGTGCTGGGATTACAGGCTGAGCCACCAGCTATAATTTTTTTTTATAGAGATCGGGTTTTGCTCTGTTGCCCAGGCTGGTCTCGAATTCCTGGTCATAAGTGATCCTCCTGCCTCAGCTCCCAAAAATGCTGGGATAACAGGCATGAACCACCGTCCCACACAATTTATTTTAAAATCACGTATGTTAAATTGTGTAGCACTAAATTGGCAGTTCTCAAAGTATGGTCCTGGAAAACCTTTCAGGAGGCCTGCAAGGTCAAAATTATTTTTATAATAATGCTAATATATTATTTGCCTTTGTCACTTACATTCTCTAATTTGTATAGAGGAGTTTCCCATATGGTCTGTGTCACCCTAGCAGGTTTAATGCAGAGGCAGATGCGAAAGTCCAACTCTCTTTTATTTAGCTAGTCGTTAAAGAGATCTATAAAAATGTAAAGTAAGCCGGGCTCGGTCGCTCAGCCTGTAATCCCGCGCCTTTGGGAGGCTGAGGTGAGTGGATTGTCTGAGCCCGTGGTTTCGAAATCCACCTGGGCAGGCGAGACCTCATCTCTACAATAAATCAAAATGAACCAGGCGTGAGCACGCGCCTGTAGTTCCAGCTACTTGGAAGGCTGAGGCAGAAGGATCACCGGAGCCCAGCAGGTCGAGGCTGCGGTGGCCGGGAGCAGCCACTGTACTCCAGTCTGGGCGACAATGAGACTCCAACTCAAAAAAAACCAAAAATGTAATGCCACGAAATTTTTGGATTTTGACAGTGGAGTTATTTCTCATAAAATGTCTGTTATTTATGTTAACATGTAACAGGTTTATTTGTTGTTTCAACAAGTCAATCAATAAATATTGTTTATATTTCTCACTTTGAATTTCTAATGTGGAAAATATTGACAGATATAACCAGCATTTTTTTTTTTTGAGTTGGAGTCTCACTCTGTCGTCCAGACTAGAGTGCAGTGGCATGCTCATGGCTACAACAACCTTGATCTGCTGGGCTCAGGCAATCCTTCTGCCTCAGCCTTCCAAGTAGCACGCCATTGTTCCCAGCTAATTTTTGATTTATTGTAGAGATGAGATCTCCCCAAGTTGCCCAGGCTGGTCTTGAACCCTTGGACTCAGGCAATCCTCTTGCCTCTGCCTCCCAAAGTGCTGGAGTTAGAGGTGTGAGCCACTGTACCTGGCCTATAGCCAGCATTAACAAAAGCTTTTGGGGGTTCTCAATAACTATTTTATTTTATTTTATTTTATTTCATGTAGAGTTAGAGTTAGCGTTAGCATTAACGGTTCACTCTGTCACACTGGCTGAGGTACAGTGGCACGCTCACGGCCACTGCAGTTTCAACCTGCTGGGCTTAAGCAATTCTTCCGCCTCAGCCTTCCAAGTAGTGGGAACTACAGGCATGTGCCCCCACACCTGGCTAATTTTTTGATTTATTGTAGAGATGAGGTCTTGCCAAGTTGCCCAGGCTGGTCTCGAACCTGTGGGCTCAGGCAATCCTCCCAGCTCCACCTCTCAAAGTGTTGGGACTACAGGCATGAGCCACTGTGCCCTACTAACTTTTTTTTTTTTTTGAGTTGGAGTCTCACTGGCTCCAGGCTGGAGTGCAGTGGCCCACTCACAGCCAACCTAGCATCGACCTGCTGGGCTCCGGCAATCCTTCCACCTCAGCCTTCCACGTAACCAGAACTATGGTATGTGCTACCACACCTGGCTAATTTTTTATTTATTGTAGAGATGAAGTCTCGCCAAGTTGCCCGGGCTGGTCTCGAACCCACAGGCTCAGGCAATCCATTCACCTCAACCTCCCAAAGTGCTGGGATTACAATCTGAACCACCGAGCCTGGCCCCCACCAACTTTTTTAAAAACAGCTTATTAATCATATATATATAATTTGTATGCAATGAAATTCACCCATGTAACTGTACAATTCAGTGGTTTTTAGTATATTTACAGAGTTGTACAACCATCAACACAATCAATTTTAGAACATTTTTATCACTTCCAAAAAGAAATCCCACTTGCATTAGTAATCACTCCCAATCTTCCCTTCTCATCTACTGGCAAACAGTAATTTACTTTCTATCTTTATGGGTTTATCTATTCTGAACTTTTTATATAAGTGAAATTATACAAGATTTGAGCTTATGTATCTGGCTTCTTTCACTTAGCAAAATGTTTTCAAGCTGTATGTATGTTGTATCATATATCAGTACTCCTTTTTTTCTTTTTCTTTTTTTGAGTCAGAATCTTTCTATGTCGCCCAGACCAGAATGCAGTGGCATGATCACTGCTCACTGCAGCTTCAACCTTCTATGTTTGGCTCAGGTGATCTTTCTGTCTCAGCCTCCCAGGTAGCTGGGACTACAGGCACATGCTACCATGCCCAGCTGATTTTTTTTTATTTTTTGTAAAGATGGGGTCTCACTATGTTGCCTAGGCTGGTCTCAAACTCCTGGACTCAAGCAATCCTCCTGCCTCGGCCTCCCAAGGTGCTGAGATTACAGGCATGAGCCATCGCGCCCAGCCCTGCACTAAAGATTTTATACATCTTGTTTAATCTAAGTGCTCCAAAATAATGAAATGTATCTTGTAGGACATATAGTACAATATTATGTAGCCAATAAAAATCCCTGTGTTTATTATAAAATTTGCCATAACAAAAATATGCTGATGATGTCTAACAAACTATTTCTAGTGGAGGCACTTTTCGTTGTCATCAGTACAATTTTTATTGCATGAGACTGCCCTGAGTATATTACTCAAATAATTCAGGACACTTAACATTCTTGATGCCAGGCACTAAATGCCAGTATCATGCCACTTCCCCATTCTACCCCATCCCCAGCATTATGACAACTAGACCGACCTTTGCATGATCCCAAAGGTATCCTAAAGAGATCCATAGGCTATGACCCTGGTTCTTTAGAATAGTTTTAAAACTTTTACAAATCCTACATTTTAAGATAGAAATTTATCAGACACTTTGGATTCTTTTCTTATCTCAAGGGTGAAGTAATAAAAGAGATTCATTTTTTAAAGACATTATTATTATTTTCCATGTTTGCTGTGTGTACATGCTATTCTGGTCATTTATGAGACCCCATTTAGCTCTCTTCTTCTCATTCCCAGACCTGTGTGGAAAACAGAAGAGTTCTGGTGTATGAAGAAGGTTTTATCTGTAGCCACAGAAATGTTCACGAGCATACAGGCCTTTAGTCCTATAAATGGGCTATTATAGACATTCAGCCCTAGCTTGCTTGCTTGCACCTCTTCATCTCGTGTTAAAGATATTTTCTTAGATGGATCAGGTTTTCAAAACCTGAACCAACTCATCAATTTTAACCTCATTAAAAATGGGGCAACCAGTCATCATATGTCTCCTAGTGGAATGCTATAGGAAGTACACAGCACCACCTCTGACATACTAATTCTACACACCCCCCTAATGGAAATCAGGCCTCCAGATTTAGCTACCATTTTATAGGAAATATAGAAGTAAAGCAACATACCATGTTAAACTATACCATGAAGATACAATCAGCCAAATCCAGAATGTGGGAAATTCAACTGATTCAAATGTTTCTTTAATAAATAAATGGCAGTAAATTTTTAAGAAGAGTTTGCAAGGGCTATTAGAGATTTGAGAGACTTTAGGAAACCTATCAACTAAATGCAGTGTGTGAATTTTGTTTGGATTCTGATGTAAACAAGCCAACTGTTAAAAAATCATTTTGGGGGCCAGGTGTGGTGGCTCCAGCGTGTAATCCCAGCACTTTGGGAGGCCGAGACGAGAAGATTGCCTGAGTCCAGGGGTTCAAGACCAGCCTGCATAACTTGGCGAGACCGCATCTCTACAATAAATAAAAAATTAGCCAGATGTGGTAGCGTGCACCTGTAGGTCCAGCTACTTGGAAGGCTGAGGCGGAAGGATTGCCTGAGCCCAGCAGGTGAATGCTGCGGTGGCCGTGAGCATGCCATTGCACTCCAGCCTGGGTGACAGAGTGAGACTCCAACTCAAAAAAAAAAAAAAAAAATCACTTTTGAGAAATCAGGGCCAATTTGAATTTAATCTGTTTAATGGGAAATTATTATTAGTTTTATTAAGTCTATAATTTGTTAGATACTAAAGTATTTGTAAGTGAAGTATTATGATGTTTGGTATGTGAAATTAGTCTCAAAATATACGAAGGGTAAAAGATGGAAAGGAATAGTTAAGACAAGATATGCATCTTGTTAATTATTGAAGCAGAGTGATGGGTTCAGCGGGGTCATTACTGTATATGATTCTCTGTACTTGTGTGTATTTTGAAAATAAAAAAGTGAAAAAAGAAAAGTTCTTTAATTCACTAGTAATGGCATGGGTTTATTGTTTCAGGGATTGGTGACGTTCAGGGATGTTGCTATAGATTTCTCTCAGGAAGAATGGAAGTGCCTAGAACCTGCTCAGAGGGACTTGTACAGGGATGTGACTTTGGAGAACTTCAGTAACTTGGTCTCACTAGGTAAGGATATTGTATCGCACAGGTCCAGACAGCAAACAGAGTGCCCAGGGACTATAACAAGGGGCAACTAGGCCAGACACAGTAGCTCACACCTGTAATTCCAGGACTTTGGGAGGCTGAGGTGGGAGAATCGCCTGAGGTCAGGAGTTTGAGACCAGCCTTGGCAATATAGTGAGACCCTACCGTCTCTACAAAAAATTAAATTAAATTTAAAAATTAGCTGCATGTGGTGGCACACACCTGTAGTCCTAGCTACTTAGAAGACTGAGGCAAGAGGATAGCTTGAACCCAGGATTTTGAGGTTACAGTTCTCTTTGATCATGCCACTGTACTCCAGCCTGAGTGACAGAGCAAGACCCTTTCTTTAAAAAAAAAAAGTTTAAATAAATAGAAGGCCATTTCCACCTCTGGTCTGGCCTGAAGAGGTGAAGAAGAAGCAGTGTCACTGGAGGTGCTGAGAACTAGAACCACAGAGAAGGACCCAGTGAGCAAGAACTCTTACTACCTCCAGAACTCCTGGGTCAAGGAAGGAGGAAGAGGGTTAAGAAATGTCCTGCACTCTCCTCCTGCCCACTGACCTGTTGATGCTTTCCATGGGAAACCCAATGGGAAACCATGGGGAGGAGTAATACTGACCTTCCAGGTAGGTTGTCTGGAGCACAGAGCGGGCACAGAACAGGGCCAGGAACATCAAGGAATAGATTTGAGGGGAAGGAGAAGGTTAAGAGTGTAATCACCATAGTTTTCTATTCCAGATAATTCAAGGCTAGCCTTCTGGAATTTCCGGTTTCTTTATTGTGCATTTCTAGGACAGTTTACAAGTTTCTGACCGAATTTCTGATGTCTGTTCCCAGAAGAGTTGTTTTGTGCCTTCTGGAATTGGAAATGAGTCGTTTCATTGGGCACTTTGATCTTCCCATCCCTTGGACAACCTTTACACCTTTCTCCTTGTAATTGCCTCTCTTCCCCAGTGACCAAGGACTGGGTTTGAATTTTGAACAGTAGGATCATACCCCATTCTTTTCCTGTAAACAGGACTTTCCATTTCTAAACCTGATGTCATCTCCTTATTGGAGGAAGGGAAAGAGCCCTGGGTGATTGCAAATGATGCGACACGACCATGGTGCCCAGGTGAGTGAAAGGTGACCAGTGGGGAAGGTCATTGAGGATAATGGTCCAGTGGGTAAGTCAACTGATTGCAGTCACTTACGTTGTTTTAGGGAGGCTTTCCTCACACCCCTGCTGTGGAATAAAGGTGTGAGATGTGAAGATGATCAGCAAAGACTTTATCAGCATCAGCTTCCAAAGGAACCTTTCCTTATCCCCAGTAATTTCTCTCTGTTCTTTCCTTTCCCACATTTTCCTTCAATTTCAAAAAGGAATGTGCCCTTTTCTTTCCCAGTAGCTGCCTTTTACCTGTACTTTTGATTCTTTTTTTCTGAAAGTTATCTTCATCCTTTAGAGAACTCTTATTTTTTTAAACTGCTTCTCATTTTATCTAATTGAGCAATTGATTTATTCTCTTAAGTTTTTTTTTTTTTTTTGAGTTGGAGTCTCACTCTGTCGCCCAGACTGGAGTGCAGTGGCCGCTCCCGGCCACCGCAGCCTCGACCTGCTGGGCTCTGGCGATCCTTCCGCCTCAGCCTTCCAAGTAGCTGGAACTACAGGCGCGTGCTACCACACCTGGATAATTTTTGATTTATTGTAGAGATGAGGTCTCATCAAGTTGCCCAGGCAGGTCTCGCACCCGCGGGCTCAGGCAATCCACTCACCTCAGCCTCCCAAAGCGCTGGGATTACAGGCTGAGCCACCAAGCCCAGCTTTCTCTTAACTTTTGAAAGGTAGGGTTGCATAGTAGTTGGGGGCACAGACTCTAGAGTCAGACTGAGTTCAAATCCTGGCTCTGCAACTTAGCTAACACTGTGAGTTTGGGTAAATTACTTAAGTTTGCTTTGGTTCAGCTCTCTCCTCTGCAAATGGGATAAAAATAGTGCTATTATATGAATTAATGACGTGAAAGTACCCAGAACAGTAGTAGTAGTAGCCAGGCAATAGTGATAGCAAATAAATGTTAGCGAGTGTTATTAATTGGCACTTGCTAGACATAATTGGAAACTTTGAATCCTTAATTATCAGATACCCCTCTCCTAACTCCTCTGCTATTATTGTCATTTTTGTTTTCATTTGGGATTATTTCCTATCTATCTGAAGAACACCCTTAAAGTTTCCCTTTATGCGTGTCTGCTCTGTTTTTGGTCACATGAAAATATTGGATCTTAATTCTAACTTTTTTTTTTGAGTCAGAGTCTTACTCTGTCACCCAGGCTGGAGTGTAGTGCTAGGTTCAGAGGATTCTTCTGCCCCACCCTTCCAAGTAGCTGGAACAACAGGTGTGCACTACCACGCCGGGCTAATTTTATGATTTATTCTAGAGATGAGGTCTCGCCATGTTGCTCAGGCTGGTCTCGAACCCCTAAGCTCAGGCAATTCTCTCGCCTCTGCTTTCCAAAGTGCTAGGATTATAGGTGTGAGCCACTGTGCCCAGCCTGTTCTACCTTCTTTCTTGTCAGTTTTGTTCACTGTCTGTGGAATTCTGTGCTAGCAGGTTCTCTCAGCCCAAAGAAGTCATTCCCACTGCCTTCTCTCTTCTATTGTTGTTGATGTCAGATTTGAATTTTGAACAATATGATTATACCCCATTTCTTTTCCTGAAAACAGACCTTTTGGAGCCAACTTTGGAAAATGTTTCACACATATTTAAAACTTGTGTTTGTTGGATAGGGTACTTGCTTCTTTGTTCACCTATAAACCTTGTGAGTATATTATTTAGAATCTGTATATCCTTTTACCTTTCTCGGTACTGTACCATCAAATTCTGATAACTGTTTATTGTATTATGTATTTTTGCTTTTTACATTTTTATAAAGGTGAAATATACCTCAGGCCGGGCATGGTGGCTCATGTCTGTAACCCAGCACTTTGGAAAGTGAGATGAGAGGATTACCTGAGCCCAGGGGTTCAAGACCAGCCTAGGCAAGTTGGCAAGACCTTGTCACTACAATAAATCAAGAAAAGTTAGTTGGGCACAGTGGTACACACCTGTAGTTCCAGCTACTTGGAAGGCTGAGGCAAAAGAATCACCTGAGCCCAGCAGGTCGAGGCTGCGGTGGCTGTGAGTGGTCACTGTACTCCATTCTGGGCAACAGAGTGAGACACCGACTCCAAAAAAAAAGAAAGAAATATACCTCATTGTAAATTATATTTTTATTTGTATAACCTGTCCTTTATTTTCCCACTTATTTCTTCTAATCTTTTTATTGGATTTCTTAAGCCAAAAAAGAACACATTTGAGGCTAGGCATGGTGGCTCATGCCTGGAATACTAGCAGTTGGGGAGGCTGAGGTGGGAGAAGTACTTGAACTTGGGAGTTTGAGACCAGTCGGGGAAACATAGTGAGACCTTGTCTCTACAAAATTATAAAAAAATTAGCTGGATGTGGTGACATGCACCTATAGTCCTAGCTACTGAGGAGGCTGAGATGGAAAGTTTGCCAGAGCTCAGGAGGTTGAGATTATAGTGATCCATGATCGTGTCACTGCACTTTAGCCTGGGAGACAGAGTGAGACCCTAACTCAAAAAAAAATTATATATATATAATATATATTTTTATATATATAAATAATTTTTATTTATATATATTTGCTTATTCTTTTCAAAAAATATTGCTATAATTTAAATTTAAATTATCAACCATTTCTCAGACTCAGTCTTGGCCCAGACTCCTTTTGTTGGAGAGTGGTGTGAAGTAGTAACTTTAAGTGTGTCCCTTGTAACAGGATTCTGTTAGAATTTCCTTTTTGATTCTGTCTGAGATTCCTTAACTTGACTAAGGGAATTCAATTTGTTCTCCCTTGTTGTTATAATTAATATGTCCTTGCCAGGCGCGGTGGCTCACGCCTGTAATCCCAGCACTTTGGGAGGTGGAGGCAAGAGGATTGCCAGAGTCCAGGGGTTCAACACCAGGCTGGGTAATTTGGTGAGACCTCATCTCTACAATAAAATAAAAATATTAGCCAGGCATGATGGTGTGTGCCTGTGGTTCCAGCTACTTGGAAGGCTAAGGTGGAAAAATTGCCTGCGCCCAGCAGATTGAGTCTGTGGTGGCCATGAGTGTGCCACTGCACTCCAGCCTGGCAACAGAGTGAGACTCTGACTCAAAAAAAAAAGGCCTGTTCCTACTTCTGCTGTTTTTATATTTTTTATTTCCTGTTCTTTTTTTTCCCAGCTATTCCTGTTTTATTCACATTTTATTACCCCTGTTTCTTCCCTAATTTTTTTTTCCCAGCTATTCCTGTTTTATTCACATTTTATTACCCCTGTTTCTTCCCTGATTTTGAAGTTATATTTTCTATTGCTTTGTAACAAATTAGTCTTTGAGTTTTAAAGGTGTGCTTAAACCTATATTTCTCTACCAATCTCAAGACTGAAACGTAATTTTTTTAATTTTTAATAAAGACTTTTTGGGTTTTGTTTTTTAATTAGAGTCTCACTCTGTAGCCCAGGAAAGAGTGCAGTGGCTCATTCACGGCTCACCATAACCTCAGATACCTGGGCTCAGGCAGTCCTTCCACCTCAGCCTCCTGAATAGCTGAGACTACAGGTGAATGCCACCACACCTGGCTAATCTTTTGTTTTTCATAGAGATGAGGTCTTACTATTTTGCCCAGGCTGATCTTGAGCTCCTGGGCTCAAACGATCCTGTTACCTCAACTTCCCAAAGTGCTGGGATTACAATAGGTGTGAGCTGTCACACCTGGCCTGTTTGTTTTTTAGCTTTTTTATTTTTAAATGATTTTAGGATTATAGAAAACTTGCAGAATTATTAGGGAATTCCTTTATACCCTTCACTCAGTTTCCACTAAGTTAACATTTTATTTTATTTTTATTTATTTATTTATTTGAGTTGGAGTCTCACTCTGTCACCCAGACGGGAGTGCAGTGGCCGTTCCTTGCCACTGCAGCCTCAACCTGCTGGGCTCCGGTGATCCTTCCACCTCAGTCTTCCAAGTAGCTGGAACTACAGGCTCGTGCTACCACACCCGGCTAATTGTTTTGATTTATTGCGGAGATGAGTTCTCACCAAGTTTCCCAGGCAGGTCTTGAACCCGCGGGCTCAGGCAATCCACTTACCTCAGCCTCCCAAGGCGTGGAATTACAGGCTGAGCCACTGAGCCCGGCTTAAGTTAACATTTTATATGACTACGGTACAGTCATCAAAACTAGGAAATTAACATTAGTATAACACTAACTGATCTACAGATCTTATTTGAATTTTATCAGTTTTTCCCTAATGTATTTTTTCTGTCCCAGGATCACACATTGCATTTAATTATTGTGTCTCCTTAGCCTTTGCCAGTCTGTGACTATTCCTTAGCTTTTCCTTGTCTTTCATGACCTTGATACCTTTTTCTTTTCTTTTTTTTTTTCTTTTTGAATCACAGTCTCACCCTGTTGCCCAGACTGGATTGTAGTGTTTTTTTTTTTTCTTTTCAAGCAAGTCCACATTGAGGGTTCTCAACCTGGAATCCATGGACCCCATCGCTGAATTTTTATTTTTATTTATTTATTTATTTTTAAGTCAGAGTCTCCCTCTGTAGCCCAGGCTGGAGTGCAGTGGCATGCTCACGGCTACCGCAGCCTCGACCTGCTGGGCTCAGGTGATCCTTCCGCTCAGCATTCTAAGTAGTTAGAATGACAGGCACACGCCACCACGCCCAGCTAATTTTTTGACTTATTGTAGAGATGAGGTCTCATCAAGTTGCCCGGGCTGGTCTTGAACCTATGGACTCAGGCAGTCCTATCACCTCAGCCTCCCAAAGTTCTGGGATTATAGGCGTGAGCCACTGCACCCAGCACCTTTTTCTTTTTAAGGGACTGAGTCTCGCTGTGTTGCCCAGACTGGACTTGAACGCCTGGTTACAAGTGGTCCTCCCAACTTAGCCTCCCAAGTACCTAGGACAGCAGGCGTGTGCCACTGTGCCCAGCTGATACTTTTGAAGATGACTTTTTGTAGAATGCCTCTCACTTTGTGTTTGTCAATATTTTCTCATAGTTAGATTGGTGTTATGTGT